ACAATCTCAAAGTACTTGTATACCTTAAGTTCTCACATGTGTACATGGGATAATAAAGAGATAATATAAATAAACTTGATATGATTGTTATATGGTTGAGTACTTGGTTATGAGTATGTTGGTTGCACTTATTGCATATGTTATAGTATCTATGTGAAAATATGTTTGTATGATATATTTGAAAATAAGAGAATATACTGAATTTATATGATATGTTATAAGTAATTAAATGAAAAATGTAGTGAACTTTATAAGTATATATATAGGTAATGAGGTGGTGGACTATATAATTATATGCATAGGATAATTATGATCGTACTGTGGAAACATACTGGGTATGTGAACTAGTATAATGGAATTATATGATTATATAAGAATTGAGATAAAACAAGTAGTAAATCAACTAGGAAACATATATATAAATAAGTATAAGAATATATATATATATATATATATATATATTAGATAAGTTATATAACAAGGTTTATATGATTAAATGAACTATGATCTAAAACTTGTTAAATTCTTAGGTGATATGAAAATATATGTTTATGTAACAAACTATGTGAAAAATGAACTACTAGAATATAAGAAATTAGTATACAAGAGTATGATATAGAATATGCAATGAGGATCTATGGGTAATATGATAAATAGGAACATATAAAAATAAAAGATAAGATGTGACTTTGTGATAGGAATTATATAATTAGAAATTAGGTAAATAAAATGACTTAAATGATGATAGGGGAATGTGATAAAAGCTAAATGGTGTAAAAATAAATGATTATATGAACATGAAATTGTATACCATCATATATGATACGATGATATATGTGTATGTATGTATTTATTTCATGGAAGTGTATATAAGATGGTATGATATGATAGTATGAAACATGCATTCATTGTTGGGAGTTATAGTTTATATTATATGTTTTATATCCCCCACAAAGTCATAGACTTAGCGTGTGAATGTTTCACACGTAGGTTTCGAGAAGGTTAAAAGTTCAGGAGCAAAGAGGAGCAAGACATGTCAGATTATCCTTTCCACATATCAGATCAGAAATGTATTTGAATACATGTAATTTGTTACATAGTATGTAGTTGGCATGTAGTATAAAGATTTGAATTGTATAAGCTCTTATATGTTTTGTAAACCAATTAATTTTAATTAATATATAATATTTATTTCCTTGAATTGTGAATTTAAATTTCAACCAATTTGTAAAGAAAAACGCTTTGAAAAGTCAATGTGACACCTCGGACTCGAATCCGGATCGGATACGAGTTAGGGGTGTTATATTTTCTATTTTCTTAAATTGATCACCAAATTTCAAAAACTTTCATTTTAATCACTAGCCCGATTTTTGGGATGTTACAATTCTCCTTCAAAATACGGTGATGGATCTATGACATTTGATGTCATCATCGTCGTAACTGCTTCGACTTTGCTGCTACTTTGTTGGCCATATAGGATAAGGTTCTAGTCACCCGCAACCGCATGTTCTGTCAAAAATACTTGAGTGTACTGTGGTGTATCCCATGAACCTCCAACCCAATTCGATCGAGTCTCGCCTGAAGTATGAAATGGAAGATAAAAAGTGAAACTAGCTTGGGATGTATAATAGTACTCTTCAGAGGCAGATGTTGAAGCAGAAGCAGAGGACGACGATGATTTCTTCTTGGACTTGGTGCATGTGGCAAGATGATGTTTCCATTCTAGCATCTCTTCCGATGTCGTGAGATATATTTTGTCATTTTCTTCGTTAAGCCGAAGATAGGGAGAATGGTCGAAATCTAAGTCCAGCGGTATAATGTCCTAACGATAGGGGAGCGATAATTCATGCTGATTTCATAGGTCGATGTAGTAAGCATGTCGCACTGGCTAATTTTCGTTATGTTTCCCACGTGTATCGATTGTATGGAGCACATCCATATCAACCTCCATTTGCCTAGGAATCAGCTGACGTGCCGTAAATTGGTGCATCACTCTATTATTTGCGTGCCACTCAACAATCTCTTGGTGCAATAACAACGTCACGGTACACCATAAGTGGAACCCCTTAAAAAATCGCCCCAGTAATACATGGTTGATCTCCTCGTTAACATATGGAAGCTAATAGAATTATAAATATCAAATATCAAAGTTATATATATAAAGTTAAAAAGATTCAAAAAAATAATAATAATTTCGTATGTCATACCGCGAATCGACCAACAATGTCAATCCTAATCCGTATATCTCGTGCAGTGGCACATGCGAAGTTCTTCTCAGAGATTTTATGACGTCATCTAAAATATTTAAAAATAAAAAATTATTATAAACAAATAAAAAATAAATAAATTTATGAAATTAAAAAAGTTAAATAAATGAAGTTAAACAATTACCTTCCAGTCAGCGGAAACTTGACAGAGGCATCTGTAAATATCAAATATCAAAGTTATATATATAAAGTTAAAAAGATTCAAAATAATAATAATAATTTCGTATGTCATACCGTGAATCGACCAACAATGTCGATCCTCATCCGTATGTCTCGTGCAGTGGCACCTGCCAAGTTCGTCTCAGAGATTTTATGACGTCATCTAAAATATTAAAAAAAAAAATATTATAAAAAAATAAAAAATAAATAAATTTATGAAATTAAAAAAGTTAAATAAATGAAGTTAAACAATTACCTTCCAGTCAGCGGAAACTCGACAGAGGCATCTGTAATTGGCATAAAAAAGGGAAGCGATAACAAGCCCATGACTGTAGCAATATCAGACAGCCTGCTACATCGGCTTTTTGACCCGATGTTACAATTGCAGCCTTACAAAGCTCCCGATACATAAAGGCTAGAATCGTCGAACCCCAACTAGTATTACGACACACAACGAAGTCTTCCAAAATTTACAGATACTGAGTGTGCACTAGATTACTGAATTTATCTGATAATAATATCCCTCTTATCACTTGGAGAAGAAATACTCTGGACGCGAAAATAACCTCTGCCTCGGTAGGCTCAACAGTCACTTCGAATTCAGACTTCAGCCATGTTATCATTACTCGATAACCCCTCATGACGTCGAATGATGATCATTTCCCATAACTTGGTGGACTAACGTCGAGGGGTCGTACACATTCTGTCTCACCATGGGGGCTCCGCTCCATTCACAGTAACACCAAGTTGGTAAGTGACGTCTTCCAAAATAATCATCATTTCACCACTAGAGAAATTGAACGTGTGCGTCTCGGGGCGCCAACGTTCGATCAGTGCCTCGATTAATGCTAGGTACACCTTAAAACCACAAAAATATAGCCGAAAATATACCAGATTGATGTAGATACGTCATCATCCCGCTGATGCGGCTCTCTGGTTATCATCCCCTAACTACGAATACTCTATTCGTCGTTCAGCCCGCGTTGGATCAATGAAACATTAGCATTATCCAGCCGCAATATATATTCTTGAGTTGTCATTTTTCGGGATTTTCGCACAACATATGTTTTTATTTTTTTTGAATTTTAGGGTTTGATGAAAAATCAAAACCTTAAACCCCTATTTATAATTTTACCCCCAATGGCTACAAACGATTGGTTTTTTGAAATACTTGACCGAACTCGTCACCTTGGGGTGACAATTTCTAAGTGACTGTTGTTGCCCGTTGACAACGGCTAGCCAATGATTAGTTTTCAAATAAATTTTTTAATAGGGTGACGAATCATTATTAAACCATTAAAATAATGGTCCACGTGGAGTCCACTAAACGTGGACCATTAAAAAAATAATATCACAAGAAACTCGTCACTTTAAAGTGATGAGATAATGAGTTTCATTTGAACTATAATAAATACCGTATTTTGTTAAATAAATTTTGGATAAGCTCATTACCCTAAGGGTGCGTTTGGTTCACGGAATGCAAGATTATCAGTGGGAATAAAAGATTACAAGGGAATAGGATTACTGAGAATGTTGTATTTTGTGTTTGGTTGGTTTAGCATGAATGTAAGATTACCGTGTTTGGTTAAAGGAATAAAAGATTATTGGAATGTATATTTGACCAAATTGTCCTTATTATATATTTTTATAATATTACAAATTGTAAAATATTTATATATTTTCTTTAAAAAATTAAATTCATAATATTTATATAATTTTTTTTACAAAATTAAAAATATAAAAAAGGTTTAATGAAAGGGTAATAAAAAATTTTAACCCTGAACTTCATATAAAATTTTAATTATAGATTTTTTTTGTAAATCTAAAATAATTTAAGGATAAATTTGTGATTTAACCTTAGTAGAATTTTTATTATTCAATGATAGAAGAATGATATTTTTGAAAAAAATAAAAATTTAAGGGCATTTTAGTCCAAAACGCCGATAATGTTACAATACCTAAGGGAATGGAGGTAATGACATTCCCGGTAATATACCCAAAAAATCTACTATTGGTAATAAAACATTACCGAGAATAAGATTCCCGACCAACCAAACATAAGAATGTGGGATTCCCATTCCATGAGAATCCTACAATCATTGAACCAAACACCCCCTAAATATTTTACCCGCATAGGGTATTTGGTAAAAAAAACCCAAGCAAAGTCTCGGTACCCGAAAGAAGGCTACACAAATAATAGAGTAGGAACGGTAGTAGCAGAACATTATTAACAATAAAGCGTGTGGACCCAAGGAAACAGAGTCGTTTCATTACCGTCTGATGTGCTTTTAAGAAATTTGACGGGTCAACGGCCCACATGCAGCCAATTATGCCAAATAGGGCTAAGAGAAGACAAACGGGGAATCTGTTGGGTGGGCCCAAAACTTCCTACGCGTCCTACGTGTGATCTGACACAAGTGGGCTTTCCTTGCCACCTATATTTATGATTCCAATTTCACCCTCGAAATATTTCAGGATTTCCACAATCATCCCTTCCTCAAGGCATCATCGTCAAAAGAAACGTTCGTCCCTTTTAACACGCGCACACACACTCAAAAAAAAAAAAAAAACTTGCTCACTAGGCTCACCCACTAGCTCTCTCTTTCTATGGTTTCTTTTGAGATCTCGAATAGAATTTTGCTTTGTAGGGCGTAATCAGGAGAAGCTGAATTGTTTCTTCGTTTCCTCATTGCGATTCGTTCTTTAAGGTACTGTTTGCCATTCGATAAAAGAGAGGAAAAAAGCTACATTTCTGTTTTCTTTCGCCTTTTTTTATCTCTCCATTTTTTTTTGTTTGGGACTCTTACCTTGTTCTATATATTATTTAGTTTCCTAGTTTTGTTTCAGCCTTGAAATTCTTTTATAAATATTTTGTTAGTTTGATGAAAATTGGGGGGAGTGGGTTGGTGGGCGGAAAGAAGTTATTTTTAGTTTGAGTTTTGATGTTTCTTGGTCATTACTTAATCTCTTTGATTAAACACAGTTTAAGTGAAAGTGATTGATTATAAGCTAGTTAAGGGAATTAAAACTGAGCTTTCATTTTGTTGGTTTGAAAGCGTTACTTTTAGTTAATAATTTCTTGTTGTTTATTATATAATTATATGTTAATGTATATGCGGATAATTTTGTTTATGCTAACGTTACCTTGTTAATCATGTTTACTTTTCTATGATTTTATTTTATTTTTCCTTTCTTCATGTTGGATTATATTGATTGTTACCAGTAAATGAATATTGGATTTATTGGTGCGAATTTAATGACCTCATTAGAGGCTCCTAGACCGCCTTAAGTGCTTTCCAATTAGCGATAGGAGCAACTAATGACCCTTCAATTTTTATTGTGTAGTGAATCATAATTGTGCTTTCTTGTGTTTTGCAAGAACCCTAATGTTGCATTGTTTGCATTGCAGGATATACCATTGATGGCTTGTGACCCCTGGGGCCCATCATTACCTGGAGGTGCTTTCTTATTTCTTGAATTAGCGGTTAAATGCATGCATTCCTATTTGATCATTGTTTTTTTAGTGTGATTCGACTGTACATTGGTAATCTGCAGAAGAAAGCAGCTATTGCATACAACCAGAATGGCAGTATGACTTTTACTTCGGTTATGGCATTGGTATAATGATGGTCCTATTTTTGTTTTACTTTTGATTGGTATAGTGTTTCTTTGCTTTTGTTATAACCATGGTTATGCAATGTGTTGGGTTTTTGGAGATATGATTGAAGAAAATGCATTGAACGAGAAATCTTGTGTTCAAGTGCTGAGGATATTGATTGCAAAAGCAGATACTGAAATTGATGAACTTGAAAAGGATTTGGTGTTGCTCCAAAGTGAACTGGTCTGGGATGAACATGAAGAATGGCATGACATCTGCTGTAATGCCTTGAGATCAAAGATCAACTGCCTTGATATTTCAATAAAGAAATTGAGGAGCAAGGATGAGAATGACATTGAGGTTTCCTTATTGATGCATACGGAACCTGCTGAGAAGTTGCATGAAATAGTGAAGGCCCTGCTCAAAAGCTTCTGTCATGAGGAAAATGAGCAGGTTTGACTCTTGGATATTTTTCATGTTCTTTTACTAACTTGCCATGAACATGATTCATCTCTGAAATTTAAAGGACCAGTACCAGAAGAGTGTGTCCTCACGTTGAGTTTACCAATTTTCTCCCTTAACTCTGCAATTTCAACCAAATTTATGTAGTATATGTTTCGTGCTTCTCTAATTTAAGGTATTTTCACCGAATGCTTCAGTCTATTGTTGGTGCCTGTGTTGGTCCATGTTTGTTCTAAATGTAGGTTTAGTACTGTCTAGATGCCACAGAGTTGTAATCATGTTGGATTTTTCTACTACCCCTAGTCATTTTGGATGGAAAGAGAATCGAGAACCTCTAATAGACTTGAGTAAATTTTTTTGGTGGAATGCTTTTGCATGCCAGGGAACTTGATAATCTCAGTCAACTCCATGTTGTCAGCAGATTGGTTTTCTTTGGAGGTCCTGTAGTGTCCCATCATTTACTTATTAGTTTCCCTTCTAATATCTGTATATTTTATGGATTATTCCATGAACTAAGAAAGAGTTTTCCTTTCAAGAATGAGCAATCTCAGGATTTTGTCTTGCATTCAAGGTCTGGTTCTCCAGACAACTCAGTTGTTCTGCGTAAGGACCAAAAATCAAGCTCTTCAGATCCATCTTCCATTGCGAAGGAGGAAAACAATGGACTCAATGTTACTCCCAAAGAAAAATTTACTCCATTAAGTCCATCTTTGCAGCTTGAAGTGAAGGAAGCAAATAGTTCGGAAACAGTTAAGTTACATGAAGCTTTATCCTTGCATAACATGTCCATGGTCAAGGATCCATTTACTCTCCACATAAATACAAAGAGACTCTGACTTTTGGGCTGTCATTGAAGGTGAAATAGTTAAATACCATTGCAGTACAGTAACTAAGGACTGTAGTAAGGGTAATTGTTATATTAATATGACAACTTGCCATGTCTCCCTACTTTGCATCGGGCGTTGTGCCTCTTTGAATTTTTTCATCTGTATCTGTCTCTCTTTCTCTAACATGGTGGCAGATGCTGGATCTGTCATAGCTCCAGTGTTGGTTTATTTTTTTGAATTCTTCATGCAAGCTCTTTAAGAGATTTAGTGCTCAATTGCTCATTATTTGATATTTTCAAGCTATCATTAGTATCTAACAACATTTTTCTGGATTTAAACAAGATTTATCTGGGTAATATTGTTGACCTTCAAATACTTGTTGCTTTTGTTATGTTGAATATTTTGAATAGACCTTCCTGTTTGATTCAAGTTACCCACACTTCTGGAGATTCGTAGAAATTTCATGCTTATAGTTGTGGCTGAAATGGTATAAATGTATCCAACATTATCATACTTGGGAACGCTGAATCGCGGAACAACTTGGTGTCTTTCCTTTGGTGCTATTGCTTAGGTTTTGTGAGGATATTGATTGAGAATGTCTTTAAGGGGACAAAATTCAGAGGTTGACACCACTGCATATACTTGTACTAATCATAAGTGGTATAAATATTTTAGTTGAGAAAATCTTCAAATATGGGATTGAGAAATCTGAAGAGAAATGATATGGTGCCTATTTATGGTAAAGGAGAGAATATAAAACAGAAAAATGAGACGAGAGAAAAAAAAATTAGCCTTAATTTCATTGCAGATGCACATGGTGATATTTCCTATAAGTTATGTTTGACAGCTATATATTGATTTCTTTTTGTGTACTAGCTGTACTTTGCAAAATACAGCCTGCTTTACTTCCTCCTCTTGGTGCCCTAATTTATAATTCGTTAGCAGCTAGCCTATGCTGAGGTCAATGATATGATGCTGAACTCCCTGCTGCCAGCAGCTGGTCAATTTGATGAGAAGAGCATTGGAACCATGCTTGATTTAGAAACTATCAAGAAACACAAAGAAAGTGATCATACTATTAAGGACAACAATGCAATCCAGCATTTTTCTCCCCAGTCTGCTCAGAAGAGAACGAATAGCATAAACGGGACTAAGGTTAAGGTATTTCACTCGCTCTCTTTTTGGTCAAGCAATCAAATTCAATATCATTTAGCAAGTTCTGATTAATAAAGGAAAAACATTGTCGAAAAGGTTTGATTAACTGTGGTGTTTTCGTTAAAAACCCCTCTCATATCTTTTTAGGCGTTAGTGAGAGAAGCTCCTCCTCTCTAAAAATCAGGCGTTTTCAAATATTTTCTTTCTTTTCCCTTTTTTATATCTCTTTGATGTCGAGTAAGGTGAGAAGATCGGTTGGGACAAATTGCTTTACAATGATCATTTTCAATATCCCAAAGTATCTTCATCATCAAGGTCTTAAGTTATTTTTCGATAAATATGGCAATGTGGTTGATTCTTTCATCCCTTTTAAAAGAAGCATGGGAGGAAGTAGGTTTGGCTTTGTTTGCTTCACCAGAGTGGAGGATACGAGGAAGGGTATCAACTGTGTTGATAGATCTTGGTTTCAAGGTTTTAAAATTAGAGTTTTCATGGCGAGATTTCAACCTCGTGAAAAATTCTGGAGAAAGAAGTTTTCTGGTCCAAAACCAGCCGAGGTCAAGAGCAAAGTGGAGGTTGATACTCATTCAAAGGCTCCCATAGTCGGTGTTGTTGATGAGGATAAGCTCTTAGCTCTCAAAAATAGCTTGGTAGGTTGGTGCATAAAATTTTTAAAAATGAAAGAGTTGGCTACTCTTTTGCATAAGGAAGGCGTGTTTGGTCCCAAAATTATGAGGTTAAGTGGTTTAGCAATTTTAATCATTCTTGAAGATGAAGAGAGTAGGGATTTTGCTCTTAATAATCAAATTGGGGCGTTGAGAAACTGCTTCGACAAAGTGGAAGTATGGTCGGAAAAGTTTCAGTGCAGCAGCAGTCGGGCATGGCTTTCGTACAAAGGAATCCCTTCGTTTGTATGGAGCCATTCCACCTTCAGAAACATTGTTGGAAAATGGGGAGAACTTATCTCCATTGAGGAAGGGACCTTCAACCCCGACTCGTTTGATAGAACATTGTTGCAGATAACCACGAACTGCCAAGCTCGAGTGGAAGATTACTTAGATTTGAAAGTCGGGGATCAGATCTATACAGTTTATGTTTCTGAGTTTGAACCTTGTTTCAGACCAGAATCTGTCTGGGTAGATTCGCCCATGATGGAAAAGGTAGTTGCCTACCCGTTATCCACGGTGGGGGAACTCGATGGTGATTCGCCAGTGAAGATTTCCGAGGTGAAGGAATGTGCTGAGGAAGCAGGAAGAGGCATGGACTCTTCGGAGGTCAATAATTCCAAGCGGTGTTCTGAAGAAGAAGATAATCTATTATGTTGTTTAGGGAACATAACTAGAGGCAACATCTTGTCGGGTGAGGTTGAGGAGGAAAGGAATATATGGGAGGAATTATTTTCGGGACTGAGGATTATTGTTGCTGGTCAGGGGAAGGCTCAATCGAAAATTGAGGAAGTAGTGGAACACGAGGATGTGCTGGTTCACGCAGAGAAACAGACAGAAAATGACAAGAGGAAAAGTAGTGTCACTGCACGTGGTTTTGAGGGAATGAAGGATTATTCTATAGAATTCCCCATGTTGGATGGTAGGGTAGAGACAAAGGTAGTGGAGGAGGAGAATATTGTGGGCCTGACAAATAATTCTGCATTCACTAGTTCCAAGGGCGTGGACAGGCAGAACCGGACAGCAAAGGATGGGAATAATAATAATTTAAGCTCTCTTCATTCAGCTCTAGGAAAACATTCGGCTCAACACTGGAAATCTAGAGAATGCCGTAGAAAGATTAATCACAGTAAGGTGCAGTGTGTGGAAGGAATGTCTGAACTTGAAGGTAGAATCCTTTATGATTCTAACTTTCATGCAAGGCGGCAGAGGCATAAGAAGGATGCGAAAGAATCCCTTCAGATCGGGGAAGATTCGGATTTTGAATCTAAAAGCTCACGAGTGTTCTTGATTTCGGAACATTTTAGCGATGGACGTATTGAAAGATACAATATGTGGTGATTTGTTTTTGGGGAATCGAAGTTGATTTTGGATTTTGGAGCTGGAGTTTCGGTTGGTCACTGATGTCATGTCCAGTATTAGGTGCAGAATGGTTTTATTGTCCGAATTTGTCTTTTATGGTTTGTGTCAGCTGTTATGTGGCTTTTCTATAGTTGTTCTGTGTTGTGTTTTGGGCCAAGTTCTGGTTGTCCTCTTGGAGTTGTTGTAGCTGAGGTGATTAGGCAGTTAGTGTTGTTGTTTTTGGTTGTTTTCTGGTTCTTTGTTTTTGGTGGGGGTTCTTTAAGTTTATATCTTATGTAATTTCTTTTGTTTAATGAAATCTTAAGGCACTCTTTTCCTCCTTCCTCTGATTAAGAAGCTTGTCTACAAGCTTCTTTAATCAAGAAGGGGGTTTTTAACGAAGCCTTCAATTCCTATAAAAAAAAATTAACTGTGGTGTACATGCTCTCCTGTAATTGCTAGTAATCTTTTCACTGTATCTGACTTAATAATTGAAATGAAAACTTTTGATGCATTTGAACCTTCAAAAGTAAAAAAGGCAGTATCAGTGTTATGAATTCACTTGTAACTAGTTCAGTTAAACAAGGGAAGTTTCTTTACCTACATGTAGCTTCTTTCTTTCTTTTTTTATTTTATTTTTTTGCACAAGTTATATATGTAGACAACAAATGGGCTGTTTGAGCTTGTCTACACTAAAAGATAAGTTTGACCTAATGAGTTATCACATGTTACAATCAACTGAATAAGTTTGCATTTATGATATGCAGGGAGAAAAAACTGACTTAACTGTGATTCAAACTACAGAGAATTTGAAATGAAATGCTCTTTTGCAGCTTTCTACCCATCTTAACTCTAACCATGACATCATATCAATCAATATACTCTTTCTTTTTCATTTACGCATATAATTTTCTGTGTTGCATGTAAATTAAATTAAATATGCTTCTCTTCAACAGGATGCAGCTGCACAGTGTGTGAATAAGTCAGACCTGGATGCTTCAAAGCATTCAGCTGGCCACCTGAACAAGAAGAAAAAGTTAAATTCTTCTAGTTTGGAAGTCGTGAGTGAGGAAGCAACAATGCACACTTCTATATCAGCTGCAGATAAGTTAATCCCAGATTCATCATCAGATTCAACGGGGATAACAGCAGATCTTAGCAATAAAGTAAAGGTATGTCCAGCTATTCATGTTGGAAACAAAAATGTGCTGCATCTTTAGATATCTTTCGTTAAGTGATGTTATCCCACATCTATTAAGTTTTGGGTCAATGGGGATGACAGCAGATCTTAGCAATAAAGTGAACGTTTGACCAGCTCTCTGATAAATGTTAGAGCCAAAATTGGGTGCGTCTTTAGATATCTTTGTTAAGTGATATTAACAAAGTAATGTCATCTCACATCTACTAAGTTTTGGTTTTCTTGTGGCCTTATACTCATGTTGGTTCTCTCCACCTGCTACCAAATAGTTCTAGGTTCAATGCTGAACATGGTATCAGATCTCGAATGTGTTTTGTTGTTCATTCCTAATCCCATGTGAGGTTGTACACGTGAAAGCCCTTATTGAGCTACGCATGAGATGGAGCGTTCAATGAAACTATCCTATGAAGTCTTGGATTTCGTATCAATTTGCTCCACTAACTGTCAGTTTTAAATTGGATGCTTAGCATGCTTTGTGAAGGTACAAGAGTGGGTGATTCTGTTACGAACTTTCTCACTTAAGGTGGCTGTTGTCGTCTGTCCTAACCTAGATTCTTGTTTCAGGATGAGCTGCTTGAAAATACCATTGCCAAAGATTTGGGCTCGATAGCTCAAAAACAGACAACTGGCCACTCTGATGTGATGAAAATATGCACACATGATCTGAAAGTTAATGGATGTGAAATGAAAGGATGTAATACAACTACTATCGGAAAAAATAATATGTCAAATTCATGTTTGAATCCTGAACATGAAGGAAATATTCAGGAAGCAGATAAGGTACAATAAGCTCTTTTTCTCATGGATTTTTTGTATTTATGTAATTTTCGATTTTAAGGGGGAAAAATCTTAGGCTTTAGCAAGCTGGTATTTTCATAGGAATATTCCAATTACCACTTTGATTCATTTATTTGAATCTAACTTAAACTACTGCCTATCAATGAGCTTATAATGACATTTTCTGCAAGCAGCCTGGTTAGAACTATTAGTCCCTATAATTTGAGACATGGTGTATTCTAATTCTAGTTTAGGTGCTTTCACACAGGTAGAAAATCTAACATGTGATATGGAGCAAAAGCTATGTGACTTTGCTGTGAAATCTGCACGCAAACAAGGCATCAAAGAGTTTAAAGTAGCGTCAACTAACAAGAATCAGTTTTCAAATTCATTATTCAAGGGAGACGAGAAGAGAAAAGACTCTTTACCAGTTGTGATGCGAAAAGAAGATGCTCTGAGTTACAATGAATATTCAGCCTTAACCTCACTCGCAGAACTGCAGGATGGAAGTGGAGAGGATAAAACTGCCCATCATATGGAGGGAAATCCACAAATGGAGGAAGTTCATATGCCTGAAATTGTTGCTAGTGATGGCAAACTGGTTTCAAACTTGCACATGAGGCTACAAAGAGGAATGATAAAGACTGTAGAGACGAATGTGGAGTCAACCCCCTCTGATGTTGAAGAACCTGGTTTAACTTCGAAGCAAAATGTTTCAAACTCATCCCCTTTTCTGAAAGGCAAGAGGGCTAACAACCATACTTTAAGCTACTCGCTGACTGAGAAAATCATTAAGAAAACAGTTCAGCGTAGTCAACGCAAAGCTGAGGAGCCAAGCATGATGCCAGGTTCTAGCCAGAATACGATGTCACTGCCACAAAAGAGATGTAAAAAGCTTTCCAGTGTGCCATTTTTTGTCGAGATCAGAGGTTCATGTGTTCAAATGAACATCTCAAAGTTGCATGGGGACCTAAATAGGAGCGATGCTCCAAAGACTGATTTTGCTGAATCAGAGGCTTCGATCGATAATCCCAGAGTAAAAGGCATGGCACCCCTGCCTTTTGATGCAAGTAGCTTGATGAAAATGAAGTTGTGCGATTTGAGGGCCATTGCAAGATCACAGAAGCTAAAGAAATACTCGACAATGAAGAAAGAGGATCTGGTCAAACAATTGGAAAACCGATTGAGTTGCTAATGAATATACCAATGGTCACTGTACAGGTTAGTTTACGTCATGTTATTGTTTTCCTTCTCGTAGTTGTTAAAAAAGGAAGACCTTGCATTGGCATATGTTATGAATTGGTCCATTGTTCTGCATCATTGTATGATGATCAAGTCTACGCCTATGCTGTTGACTCTTCATTTTCCTTGAGCTAGCTGTGTCTGACTCATTTTTGAATATAGGTATGGAAGTATGAGCTTTCTAAGGTGACCAGCGGCAATATCTGATACTTGCGTCGGAGTCCGAGTAACATAGATCTTCACTCTTCATTTAGGAATGACAGGTTTGTTCAAGCGCATACAATCACACTAGATAGGGGAATTAGACCTGATTCTATGACTCATCTACTGACATTTGCTTTTTATTCAACTTAATCGGGAGATTGCCGTATGTAAATATTAATCACAGGTTTGATTTTGTGAATGCAAGTAAGGCTTGTATTTGGGCCAGTCTTTCCTTCTTTTAAATCGAAGTCCGTGTTCCAATTTTCATTATCTCAAGCCTAACAATCCATTAGGCTTGAGATGGAGATAATCAACACACACAAAACAACCAGATGAAGAAAAGAGAGCAAACAATCATCATTGTTTCAATTGTTTAATCAAATAATCACAATTCTATGTTGCTTGAAGCATCCTGAACCCTTTTAGCAATCTCTAAATTTGTGGGAAAAAACTTGAAAAGAAAAACACTCGAGTACTGGAGTTGAAATTATCCAAGAATTTTTTTGAATAAACTCCATTTTGATGCATTGATAGTTATTTAGTGTTCTATTTATTGTAAAATTATATATAAAAAATTATTGTGTTTGCATTAATTTATATTAAGGTATAATATTTTGTTACAATTTTGAACTGTTACCTTTCATACAGTCCAACTTGTGATCAGCTTCCTCAAAAACTGCTTGCACAACATGGGCAATGCCCTACAAAGTTACAAGTCTGCACGTTTTTAACTTTAATTATTTTGGATTAAATACAAGGCAAATTTCAACCAACTCTCATACTCTTTGGGCATTTGCCTGGGTTTTGACATCTGTAGTTGCCCATAATAATATCAAGGCTCATGTAATAAAACCATAATTCAGTTATCAGATGAAAATGCGTTAATGAAGAGGCACCAACACTTCTGTAATTCTGTTAGCTCACCCTTTAAGCGTTGGCCAGAAGGATATTAAATAATATATAGTAATTATTAAGTTTCATTAAATCCAGGTATATTGCCTGTATATATAATATATAGTTTATTAAAAATAACTTAAATGAAGATTCGATACGACGGATATTTGCTGACAAAAGAACATTCTTTATATTGTAAAGTAACGGGAAATAAGTTGCTGTAGGTAGGCAGGTAAAAAATCAACGGCATTAATTTATATTATTTGTGTACGTCAGCTTTATTAATTAAATTATTGGTACTAATAATAAAACATTCAAAGAGAGTCCCTTTAAAACTTATATTTTTATGAGATACTGAAATGACACATTAATTAAAATGTAAATTGCATACAAGTAAACATAGTATACCATATCATTATGTACCTCATTTACGAATAAAGAATTAAATTCTTAGTACTAATAATAAAATATTCAAAGATCCTAAATTCGAACACCACAAATATTAAGGGTATACTAGAATTAATTGTCAAATGGTTGAATTTTTAAACTTATACTATATTGTATGTACCTAAATTTATATATATATATATCATAATTGAGATTGGTAACTTAGCACGTGTTTTTAATTTTATTTAGAGAATATTATATTATTTATGTATTAATATCATGTTCATGTAACGTCTTTTAATCATATTATATTTATTTTTTTCACGTCATATTTATGATGTGTAATTGATTTGATCTTTTATAAAATCTTTCGAGATTAAACGTATAAATAAATTTATAGATATAGCACAAAGAGAACTTCATAACAACAAATGCGAGCTTCAGATGTTCAAATAATTACCAAACATTTGCCACAATAAGTCATTGCTTTCTAATTTCAATTCATCATCTTTTCCCTAACGCATACATGAGCAAAGACCAGTGTTCCAAAGTTATACATCTTAGTTCCAGAATCACACACAAGAGGGGCAATTTGAAAATTCATATGACGGTAAAAGAAGATTAAATCATTCCAGTGGGGGACTCTTCCGGTTCAGGATCGGTATTCATATCCCCCGAATAATGCAGGTGTAGAGTTCTTTAATCTTGAGGTTATGATGCAACTTTGCATATATCTTTGCTGGATCGGTTATATTTCATGTGACTCTTGACAAGCTGACCACCGGCGATTGCAGCCATCAAGGAAAGTTCCCCGGCCAGAACTGAGCCGGCCACGATTGTTGCCAAGAGCCTTGAGTTCGACCCCGGCACTTCTTTACTTGCACCCTTCACCCCTAGCAAATTCAGGCATGCAGACTGTGATGCAAGCTGAGTTCCACCCCCTACGGTTCCCACCTCAATGGAAGGCATAGTCACGGATATGTGAAGGTCTTTCCCATCATTGACAGCTTCCATCATGGTAATGCAATGGGAGCTTTCGACATTTTGAGCTGGATCTTGTCCGGTTGCTATGAAGATAGCGGAGACGATGTTGCTTGCATGTGCATTAAATCCACCAAGAGCACCGGCAACAGCAGAACCAGCAAGGTTTTTTAGCATGTTGAGCTCGACCAGCGTAGCAACAGTGGTCCGGAAAACCTTCTTCAGTACTTCTTCTTTAATAATTGCTTCACACACCACCGATTTGCCTCGCCCTTCAATCCAATTAACAGCAGATGGTTTCTTGTCCGAACAAAAATTTCCTAGCAAATAAACACAAAATGGAACAATCAAGGCATACAGAGTTTAGCACCATGATAATTGCTTAGAAGAAATGTTTAAAACTGCAAACAAGTAGTAAAAAAACAGACATGATCAGATTCACAAACGATTGATTGAACTTAGAGATGAGATGGGAACGTACAAGAAATGAACTTACCGGAGATGCCGATAACATCCATGTCCGGATAATCGCTTTGAAGGTATTTAAGGATGTTTTCGACCCCCTTGGAAACCATATTCATACCCATAGCATCCCCTGTGGAGCAGCTAAATCTCATGTAGAGATTTTTGCCAGCAACAGAACATTGGACACCCTGAAGTCTTGCAAAGTTACTAGACCTAGAAAACAACAGAACATATATCACTTCTTTGATAAATGTATACAAAACTAAAAAGAGTAAGGCTTTTCTACACATGCTTGATAAGAAATATAGAAGTAGAGTAGCTAAAAAGGAGGTAGGATTAACCTTTACCCTTCATATCTCTGTATAGAACATTTACACATCAAATGGCTGACTATCTAAACAAGTTACTTTCATAATGATCCGTAGCTAAAATCAAATGAACATATTGCAAACATACGAATCTAACAGCGAAAAAAGAAAATTAACTCAAAACTAAAAAAGATCGGCAACATTAAAGTCATAAATCCTAAGCAATATTGCAAGAACATAAAGTCATAAATTGTAATTCCTAAGCAACGAAAACAATGAAAGAAATCTACCAATCAAATAAAAGAAATTTGAAGTTTTGTTTATGTTACTTGTTGAATTCGTGTGCCAAAGTCTGAAAATTTGAAGGATCCTCGATGAAAAACTTGAGAAGACAAGCTCTAGCGGCAGAGGGGAGCCTAACAACTGGAGCTCTCGTCATAGCGTCCCTCAAGACGGCGCTGGTAGCTCCACCAGAGGCATAGATACCCTTAAATCCTCGATTGGTGCTTGCAACTAAGCAGCCCTCAGTGGTAGCCATTGGCACAGTGTACTCGAAACCATCGAGCAGCAATGGACCCGCAATCCCCACTGGAATCTGAACGTATCCCACTGGCATTTCGCAGCACTGCTTCAAAACAGCTTTATAATCGAAGCCATCTAAAGGTAAGCCTTGCAGCGACCTTCCAGTAATCCTCTGCAACGCTTCTCTTCGAATGCAAACAGCTCTTTTGCAATCTCCAAGTTTCTCCTCGAGCGCGTATGAAGGGATTGTTCCTTTGACAACTAAATCCACGATTTTTTCGTCTTCGTAGGAGGAAACCGCCTGAACTTGGCGGTCAGCGACAGAAGGAGTGCAAGTCAGCAGCCGGTGACGATAAACTTCAACGACGTTACCATCGTCGACGTCAAGGTCCCAAGCCTCATTGGAGGCGCGTACAATAAACGACTGGACAAAGTCGATACCAAAGAAGCCAAGGAGGTATATAAAGGAGGCGACGAGAGAGAGAATAGCAGCCAGCTCGGAGAAAGTGACGATGTGAAGGGGAACGGAGTTACGGATCTTTTCCTGCCACCGGAGAAGAAGGTAGTATGCCACCGAAAAGAAAAGAGTGAAGAAAATAGCGTTGGTGAGGTACAGAGGGAGCGGGAGTGCATCCGATGCCTTGGCGGCGGAGGCCTTTGATTCCGGTGCCGATGGAATCTCCTTCGGAGATGGTTGAAGTGCTTTTGAAGTTCCACGGCGAACGTCCATTTGAAAAACTCCGGCGAGAAAAAGAGCGTACGGAAGCCGTAGGAGTTGGTAGTATGTGCGGTAATGGAGGACAAAAAGAGTTGGAGCGAGCGATAATTGAGGGCTAACTGGACTATTCTATCATGCATAATACGCATTGAGGATTTTAAGTTTAGTAATAATAAACTATATGGTAAAGTATATAAATATTCTTTGAATTTTTTGAGTTTTTATATTTTGGTCATCTAATTTTTAAAATTTATAATATAATTATTAAACTTTTAATTCGTTTTAAATAAAATATTTATTGTTACCTCTCGTTAATTTTTAATGTCGTGGCAGTTAATTCCCATAAACTCCCTCATCTTTTTCTTCCAACTCAAACCAAGCAAAACCCAAAACCCTCCTCTCTTTTTTTCTTCTCCTTCCAACTCATATCTTGAAAAACCCAAAAATGAGAACAGTCTAAAAAAAGCTCATACACTCATCGCATATGACATGATAGATACAAATGGAAATGTCAGAGAAGAGACTGAACCATGTTCCATATTCCCATGTTCAACACTCATCGCAATTTTATTTTGTTTCCCAGATGGAAGTTCAACCGTGTTAGCGGCATTCGTCGGGATGAAACTAAGTGCTTGACCAGTTGAACCATCCCATACTTCAAGTTTATTTACTGGCTGCACAGAAACAGGCTCCGAAGATCCAAATGGAGAAATATGAGAATACAGAGCTCCTTTCCAATAAGGTGTCAACATGAGGGTTGAAATGATCTGAACTTCCTAAAAAATTCTCCACATCAGTGACTGGTTCAGTATCATTAAATGCCAAACTGAAATTATTTGGAGTAACTCGAGAAGAAGCATCTCCAGATTTTGCTATAAACAAAAGATCAGAAGCATCCTTAGAGGCCATATTTGAGGTTAAAAGCTCTTCAGACCTTGATGCTGATGATTCCCCAGACAAATAACTATTTTCATCAAGGTGAGAGCGGTGTTGGCTGGGGTCAGAGTCATTTTTGCTACCAAAATTTAACAAAGAATGATATTCATTCACACTGGATAGATTGTTTCCGGTCAAGATTGTATCATTTCTATTGATGCCAGTGTCAAAATTTTTGAATGGAACGGTATGGGACACTGAAGGACAGGCATCAACAGCTGTGTCTAATAACGATCCCAGGAGAAGATTTCAGGAAAGGTATATAACCAGGAGCATCACTGAGCTGTCTCACTGGTTTCTCATAGGGATTGCTTGGACTGAGAGTCTTTTTTGTACTGTTCTCGTTTTTGAATGAACTCACTAAGACAACGGCTTAACTGAGTTTTTTTTTTCTGTTTTCGTTTTCGGGTTTTGCTTTGTTTGAGTTAGAAGAAGAAAAAGGAGGAGGAGGGGAGGGTTTTGAGTTTTGCCTAGTTTGACTTGGAAGAAGAAGAAGATGGGGGAGTTAACTGTCACCTCAACAAAAATTAATCCAAATAACAATCATACTGAAAATAAATTAAAATTTAAACAACTATATTGTAAGTTTTAAAATTTAAGTAACCAAAACGTCATAGTCTTAAAAATTTAAAGACTATTTATATACTTTACTATAAACTATAATATTACTTATTAAATTATTATTATTATTATTATTTTTAGAACAACTTATTGCTTTTATTAAAAAAAAAGTAAATAAATTGTTCCTCAATTAATATTATACTATATCACTAGAGAGGAATGAGATTTGAATCCAGAATTCCGATGCTTAAATTCTACATAATACTCGTATGATTGGCTATAAATTGTGAATTGAAATATGCTTTGTTCTTTTTTTTAATCAAAAGATGCCAGCCTTTATTAAAAAAAATAAGGCTTAAATACAACTTTTCTCCATAAAAACTATATCATTTTTACAAAGTTACCTCTTAAAGTATTTTTCGGGATATTTTACTCTCAAAGTTTAAATTATTATCTCATTTGCCCCAATCCGTTAAAAACATTTGAATAAATTACATATTTAATCACTCAATTATTCGTGTAGTTCTATTTTGGTCAGTCAACTATTTTGGTTTCAAAATCATCACTAAACTTAATTTTTTTGTTTTGTTTTGGTCACCCAATTCGATTAGATTTATTTTTAAAATTTATAATATATAAGAATTCATTTATATCACATATTTTTTTACTCAATACATAAATTTAATGTATAATAATAAATAATATTATAACGTAAATAATATACAACATGTTTAGTAGTTTGTAATTAAATTTTTACTAAAAGAAATATTAAATATTAATTAAAATATTGCATTCCTATAGCTTCAACCTCTCCGCATGTTTATGGTAAATAAATCAAAGGATAAATTACATAGTTCCTCACTCTACTTTACTCTCTCTCCTATGTGGCTCACTGAACTTTTAATTTTTCTAATTTGCTCACTGAACTTTACAAATTGAATCATTTTGCTCACTATGCCGTTAACTTTTTAACGGCATTACGACGTGGCACAGGAATCAAAACGACACCTGTTTTGAAAAAACTCAAATATACTCTAAAACGACGTTGTTTTGGTGAGTGAAATATGAGAAAAAGTAAAGTGTAATAACTCATTATGTAATTTACCCTTTTTCCTAATGATTCATGGTGTAATTTACCCCTTTTTTTCCTTCTCTTCTCCATTTTCTCCCCGCCAACCACCAAACCATTTTCATTTCGACCATCATTGACCGCTATAAATGGTGGTTGTTCGGTCCCAAAATGGGATGAGTCTGTTCGTCTCAATCCCCTAAGTTCGGATCTGGTGTTTGTTTCACCGGATGTCCCAAAACCCATGAATTTGGACTAAAACGTTTCAGTTTCCTCACTTTCAATCTCAAATTCGTGGACTTCGGAGCAACTTTCGACAAAATAGATGTCAAATTCGAACTCACGACGTCGAGGCGAAGTGACCCATCCCATTTTAGGACCAAACGACAGTCAATAGTGGCCGGTAGTGACATCTGACCATCTTGTGTTTTTATTTTATTTTATAATTATTTTATATTAAATAAAAATAAAAAATGACATGTTAGAGAGAAAATGAGGGAGTGAGCAAAAAGATTCAATTTGTGAAGTTCAGTGAGCAAAATAGAAAAATTGAAAGTTCTGTGAGCAAAATAGGAGAGAGTAAAGTAGAGTGAAGAACAATTTAATTTACCCTAAATTAAAAGCGATATTCTTCGTATTAAAAGAAACCAATTGAAGCTTGAACATTGCTCAACATTTCTATTTTTGAAAAAGAGTAGTATAATATTGTAACATCCCAAATTCAGGGCTAATAACTAAAATGTAAGTTTTGAAACTTTGAAGTCTGATTTCGAAAAATTAAAAAGTTCAAGGACTTAAATAGGAATATTTCAGTATTTGATTAAATCGTAATTATGGAAAGTTTTAAGGGGTATTATGGTCTTTTTATGTAAAAGATATTTATCTCTTATTTAAAAAGATAAGCTTGTGGAGGAGAAAATCATTTGGAAGCTTATTTTCTTCTCTCATTCTCCTTCTTCTTCTTCCCGTAGGTCTCAATTAAAGGTGAGTTCAATTTCAGTTGTTTAATTCTTGAATTTATGATTTGGTTTTGATTAGTTGGGTGTTATATAAGCTTAAGGAAAGCTTATATGAGCTTAAATCACCAAGTAGAGAGAATTTGAAAGGAAATTTCAATAAGGGTTAAGAAATGAATTCTTGATATAAAGAGGTTTTTAAAGTTTTATTGATGAATTTGACTTGTCATTAGAAGGATCAAGAAGATTGAAGCATTGGAAATGAATTTGAAACATGTTGATTTATTGGCTTGATTATTGAATTCAAGTGTGTATGTATGATATTGAAGATTAGAATGAATTAAAGTAATATAAGTTGATTTGAATAAGTATAGTTAAGTCTCAAGGATGAAAAGAAGGTTATGGAAGCAAAATTAAGTGAGTTTAGTATGATTTTCGGGCTTAAAATTGATTTTTGGGCAAGGGTGTATCGGTACCCATTCAATAGGTACCGATACCTCAAGAGAAAAATCTGGGAAGACGTTTAAAGGGGTACCGATACCTTCAGGAGTGTATCGATACCCCCTTGAAACAAGAAAATTTTGAATGTAATTTGGGTATCGATACACAGGCAATATACTGATACATTTCAAAGGGAAAATGGAATTAGATATTTCTTTTAGTTTAAGGAATCAATGATCAAATCATAGTATTTAGAATGCTAATATGTATACATGATTGTGTAGATATCGATCGAGGGCAAAGTCTGGACAAGTTATAAGTAATAGTCAGCGAGAAGAGATAAGGGTTTGATATTGACTAGTGAGGCCAAGTGAGTGCATACTATTAGAGTATACATAATATTATATGGAAATTAGACTTATGACAAGTATGTTTCCAATACGAGGAATATATGATTGTATGAGTAGAAGCATAATTATGTTTGTATTATGTGAATATGCCTTGTTCATATTATATGTTATGTGGTGTGAATTTATATGATATGTGGTATATGGAAACGATATATGTAACTATATGAGCTATATGGTAAAGATCTATGAAACCATAGAAAAATGTTATAGGAGCTATGTGATGATAAGTTATGAGAATACATGCATAAGTGACATATGTTTATATGTTATGATATATGTTACATGATTTATGTGAACATAAGAGAATAAACAATAAGGCATATGATGTGACATAAATGATTATTTGCACATGTGATACATGTTAAGAGAAATGATCGATGAAATTACATAAGAGATGATATGAGCTACATAAGTAAATGTATATGTGATAAGCTATGTGATATGTGAACGTGAATCATATGAAAATGTTCTACGGGTAAGTGAACTACGTGCCTATGTGAAATGATAAATAATAATGCCCATGTTATATGTCATGAGGGCTAGAGGTATAGTTGGCATGCCAAGAGTCGAGGGTTCTGCGCGGTCCTTCGAGACATATGTGATATGTGTTATATGTGGTCCTTCGAGACATAGTGGTCACTCAGGACAAATTCTATGCGCCCTTAGTGGGAATTATACGAGCTGTGGTGACAGTATAGTGCAC